GGCAGGAGTTGTTCCAAAGCCTATATAACATTCCTCTGAGATGTTGTGTATATTAATATTTGAAACTCATAATAAATTTCAGGTGATTTTTCTTAAGTTGCCTTTGGACCTTTAATTATTTTTCACTCCAAGCAAAGTAAAACTCTATTAAAGCACTAATAAAAACATTTCTGTTTCTGTTTTTTAACTTCAATAAGACCACCATGGAAAACATTCCACTCTTGCAATAAGCATAAATCATTTCAGAATTCGCATATTTTTTATTTTTTTTTTCTTTCAATGACTGCCTAAGTAGTATAATGATTCAGATAAGAGTAGTTGACTGAGCAGCTTCAATGAGTAGTTACTCTTGATGTGAAATCAGAATAATACCATGACTTGCAGGGGGTTTGTCCCAATGTGGATTTATACMCAGATCTTTGCTTTGGATCTGAAGAATCTCGAAACTCAAATCCATTAAAACCAGAGAGCTTTGCAGTGGAGAACAGTACCCCTGGGAGGAGGTGCAGAACCTGAAGCTCAGCTCATTTGGGTGCAAATCCAGGAGCACCTGAGCGTGTTTGGGCTTGGCTTGCATTGGATTTGACGTGGGGCCAGGTGTAAAGATCATAAGGGTGGGTGAATTGCTTTATGAAAACCATTGCACAGCTCATTGAGTGTCAAACTCACCGTATCGCCAGTCTGATACCTCTGCCCTGCTTAAATCTTATGATGAGGATGGAGATGGCGCCTGTGCTTTGTGTTTGCCATAAATACTTGACTGAGGCTCTTTTCAAGAGTAATTCTGCAATTACAGACCATGATGTCATCCCGAGAGGAGCTGTCAGCTAGACTGTATATTTTAATGGTTTCTGTGAAATTAGCAATATCAGGAAGTTGAATTTTAATTTACAGAACCGCTACAAAATCAGCAGTTCTTTTATACAGTCTGAAGCTTTATCCTCTGCAGCACGTCTGAAAAATTGATGGTCTTGCCCAGGGTTTGTTTCCAGGTGGGACGCGGGAGGCAGCCCGTCCTCTTTGCCCTTCCTTTCTGCTTGGGCCGACAGCAGCTGGATAACGGGACAGGCCTGGATGGTGGGAAGGAAGATGTAGGGATGGTGTCTCACGTCCGAGCTGATTTCCAGGTGCCCGCTGGTCAGTGCCAGGACACTCTTGCCCAAGCAGTTCCTGCTGGGCAGAGGGGAAGCTTCAGAAASTTGAGTGGTGCAAATAGTTAACAACTATTAAGGATATGTTTGAGAAAGCATCAATTCGAATTCAAATATCAGAAGAACTTGGGTTCTTGAGGAGGCAAGTGTTAATTCTAGACGTTGCCAAGCATAGGTGCTGATCCAAGCATGCTCAAGTCGATGAAAAGCCTCTTTTTGGCTTCACTGAGCTTTGAATTAAGGCCACAGCATATTTGATAAACTAAAAAAGGTACAGCAAGCCTTTGGCATTAACTACTGCCTGATGACAATGGGTTCTGATGGGATTAGATAAGTATGTTCTGCAGAAAAGATTTGCTACAAGCAGAAAGAACAGAATGCTTCCTGATTTTCTTYGATATTTGTTACTCTTAATCTGATATAGGATTGGAAAACATTTTTACAAGCCACAATTGTTTTCCTATCATGTGGTTTTTTTGGCAAGATTCAGATTATGATGAAACTTATTGCCACATACAATAAAAGGCAGTCACTGCCTCCAAGGTGAAAAAAGAGCTACTGCCTTCATTGTACCTCCAGCACCAGTCTCTTGGTACTAGAGATGCATGAAATATTTGAACGTGCTGAAATGCAGTTGTTTTTATTTTTATTAAGAGTTTTTTTTTTCCCAGAACATAAAGTGGCAATGACATGGAAACACTTGTTAGATAAAATTTTCTAGACTGTTTTCTGATCAGTTTTCTGTTTAAAATTCGTTTCATGCATGTAGCTTGGAGGCAGTGTTATAAATATAACGTATATTTTTAAGTGCATGTGGTGTGTCCTGCCCATTAGGCACGGCGATACCTCCTTGCAGTGATGCACAAGTGCAGCAACAGCTCTTCCCGTGCCCATCTAAACACGCAGAGGAATCGAGCGACCTGCCAGAGGCCGTAATGGAAGAACTGAGGGGAAAAAAAAGGATATTTTTTATTTCAAAAAAACATATGGCTGCAGCCACAACGTGGAGGCTTCTTGCATGGAGACCAGCACTTCTGTGGCACCCGGAGGAGGGTTTTTCTTATGATGGTTTTGCAGCATCCTCCTGGAGCGCTGGGTTGATGTGGGACAGCCGGAGCCCTCAGGTTCAGCTAAGCTCAGCGCAGGCGAGGCAGCCCTGCAAAATGAAGCCGAGCCTTGCAAATAGTGCTGAGGAAACAAGAAAAGACTCAGTGTCCTCGCAGGCCTGGCCGTGAAGCTGCCTCCTGAGCGAACAGCCCCTGCTTCCAGTATTGCGGCGCTCCCAGTTTCGGGGTGCTTTGATCCACCTGTCCATCGCCGTGAAGCACGCCAGATTTAATCAGGGGCTGCCAGGGAGGGCTGATTCCAATACTGGCCTCCAGAAATGAGCTGTCCATCAAGGATGAGCTTTAATCCCTTCCCCTTGCGGCGCCTTCAGCCCCGCTCTGCAGCTGAGCGGGTCCTGGCTGGGCCGCAGAAGAGCCAGGCACCCCCAAAGGCCCCGGGAGAGCCCCTGGGGCTGCTCCCCGTCCCTCGGGCTCCGTGGAATGTCTGATCCCATTGGCATTTCTGAGCCGCACGAGGGGAGAGATCTCCCCTTTGATACGGAGCTTCTACAAGCGCGGCTCCCCAAGGCCTGCGGAGCCTTTGTGCGAGCAGATTCTGGGATTAAACCTCTCCCTATTGTGGTTGGAATGGGAAYGCTGAGGACAAGGGTTACTTTCCATACCTAATTTCAAGTTATTCTAGCTGTGGATGTCAGATAAAATAGTCAATGACTGGCAGGATGATAGAATATGGTTTAATTTCAGATTTACTATCTGCCAACACATGCCATTCAATCAGATAAACACGGGATTCAAGCTGTCATCACAATATCTTATGCATACTTAAAAATAGAGCACTTTTTCACACACCGAGAAGAAATCAAACAGGTTTTTATATAGGAAGTATACAGTCGGGGTGCTAGGRAAGTTTGAAATAGCCTGCCATTTCTAGAGAGATGCCCTATCTTTAAATGAAGGAATTATATTAGGAGAGGGAAGAATTCTCAGGAGTGCACAAGTTTTATCATTGTCAACTGCACAGAATAAATAAAAATCAAGCAAACATCTTAAAAAGCTGAAATGCATAAACTGTGGAAAATACTCCTAGTGTTTACAGCAGGGAATGTGGGAGTCACGTAGAGGGAGAGGCGACTCAGAAGGTCTCTGCATGTTCATCTAGTTCCTCCTCTGGTTCCTAAGTTCTTGCCCTTGCCRTTCTGGCTGTCCTAGATCTCTGCCCATCACCCTAGGGCTTGAATATCTGCTCCTCTTAGGAGGTGGAGCTGGAAGGTGACACTCTAGGACAGCACAAGCACCATCCTAAAGCAGCTTTTGCAGCAAATATAATTTTAAGCATTCACAGTCTAAAGCCTCTGTCYTGCAAGAACCTCGGTGAAAACGCTGTTCTAGGTGAGACGTGGCTTTCTAAATGCTTGCCAGCCTGGTGCTGTACGTTATAAATATGTGGGTGCACAACAGAGCATGCCTTTTTGGCCCACATTCTTAGCTGCTTTCTGGGGTTGCTCTTCCCAGCCCAGCTGGTTTCTTGGCTCGCTCTCCTTCCCCTCGCCCTTCCACCGGGCTGCTCCAAAAGGAGCCTGGCCTGAGCTCTGCAGCCTTGTGGTGCCTTTGAAGCCAAGACTGGTACTTCGCTTTGAAGAGCAGCTCTAGCAAAAAGGCGATGATTTCTAGCGAAGATAAGGGAAAGAAAGTTACTTTTCCTTTGCAAGCATTCCTCCTGCAGCTGCCCTTGCTCACGGGGAGGCTGTTGCTCTTTGCAGTAAGCGCCAAGTCTCTGCTGCAACGCACCAGCCTAGCGCCCACGGAGACCTGAGCAAGGTGCTGCACTGGCTCTTGCCTCGACTTCATCCCTTCCTGCTTAAGCTCTCCCGCACTTTGGAGAGGAGCCTGATTTCCAGGTTGTGGGTACCTCGGGACGGCTCTCATCACGGCTCCCTGCTCCACTCTGGCCGCAGAAGCGTTTTGTGCTGGCCTATGCACACACATAAAATAAAGCAGTAACAAGGCTGGGGAAAAATCTTAGTGACTGTTTTCTCAATCCTAAAGGTGTCTTTGGAATTCTGTTTCTTTTTGTTTTGTTAGGGTGGGTTTTTTTGTTGGTTTTTTTTTTTTTTTGGCTCTTTCAGAGAAGGCTTTCACATATAGTGACGTCCCAAACCATTTATTTGAAGTCATTGGTGGGTGGCACGTACATTAGGGTTGTGGTTTCGTTGATGTGATCAGCCTGACTGAGTAGATGGCAGATTAAATGTTTTATTTACCCCATGTGCTACCTGTCATCTAATCAGCCTTTGTTTTTGCTGCATTGCTCGTTATATTATGGTAAGAGTAAGTGGGTTCATGTAAATTAAAACCGCATGAAGCCTTTTAGAGACATTTTGAAATACTAAATGGTTTTGCAAAAAGGTTTCTCGGACAGGGATTGGAAAAAGAGCTCCTTGCTTACCCATTTACTCCTTTGTATGCTTATTAGAAACCCCCCCGTGTGACTCTCTCATCAAACATTGCATCCAGGTGCTCATCTCAAATGCCAAGAGATGCTTATACCGTGCTCAAGAGCAGTTTGCATAAACAGGAGGCAGTTCACAAAGACTATGGTTGTGAGCTGCGATTGCAAATGCTATTGTGTAAATTACAACACAGATACCCAATAAAATGACTTCTTCTGATGTTTGCCACTTTCTCGGGGCGTGAAGGAGTGTTGGGTTTAAAGTTTTGTTGCTGTTAATAAAAATTATTGACATTGCAGTGGTTTCACTGTGAATAATCTTCTTTCTTACAGGTGGATCGTGTCATCTTCTGCGTCTTTTTGGAGGTGGACTACAAAATTTTCAAGAAGAAAATGAGCAAGTTCTTCCCTCTAGGTAGGTACAGCAATCAAGTGCCAGCTGTTTTTAATAAATGGTGTAGCAGAAAGTTATCAGTCTTTGGCATTCTTTTCTTTTTCCTTCTGTAAGCCAAGGAGTAAAATGTCAACTTTCCCTAAAGTTCAGCTGATCCTGGAAAAAGAGGTGCATTTCTGCACACCAGTAAAGCTGCCTGTGATGCTCCTCTTTGCAAAATGAAGGCCTGCATTTCCACGCTGAGCACAGCTAGTTTGCGCCGTCGCTGCTGGTGTGTGGGGCTGGGTGAAAGCAGAAAATGATTCGCACTAATGTGCGCGTCGCTCCTGGCRTGCATCGCTTTTCCATGCACTCCATGCCTGCTTTTCTCCCTCATTAATGATGCCGGTAGGGTTTCTCTGGGTCTGAGAAGAGACCGCAGGGGTTAGAGCCCAACTGTGTCTGAATGGGAACTTTAAACTTGAGCTGTCCCTGTGCAAGCATGAATCAGAGGAAAGATGGCTCTCGCCGGAGCGCCGGGGAAATGTTACCCATTCATCTTGTGTTTCGCACAGGAGGTTACTTCTTGCAGTGTAAGAAAATCTGGTACATAGCAAATTTGTTTGCCAGCCCTTCCCTCCCCGCCTATATCTGTGATTTATTTTTATCATGTTTATCATTAGAAATCTGTTTGCTCTTTCCTTTTTTTTATGAACTCTCACCCTCTCCTCCTGTTTTATGTTGTTTTCTGTGACATCAGTTGTACTCTGTCTGATAGGATGTGGATTTTAGTGTTTTCTTTTATTGCCCGTTTCTAAAATCCGTGTCACCCGAGYGCTTCCCACACTGTCTGTGTCTCTTCCAGAAAGAGCCTCGGAGTAAGTAGCAAGCAGACCTTCCCTGCGTGCCGAGTCTCCATTCCTTCTATGGGACCACCTTGTCACAGTGGCCACACTGTTTTTTCCTTCACTTTGGTGGTCCCTATGGCAATTGCAATGTCTCATCTCACGAGAAAGCCTTTTTGCAGGCAACTTGCTGCCCTTCACGTTGCGCTGCTTGGCAATTGAGATGTTAAAGACACGTTGAATAATTCAGCTAGCACAGACTGTGCCCAACCATGATATTTTGGTCTGGAGCACGTTGAATGTGCTCTTCAGAGGCTGCATTAGTGTCTCATCCATTCATTGCATCACTTTTTGGCAATGCAACCCAGCGCGCAGGACAAAGTGGTGGTACTCGACCTTCTGCTGCTGACTCTGCCCCTGCCCTGCAGATTAACAGAGAGCAAGTTGCTGTATCAGTTTGTCAACAATATTTAATATTTCCCTTCTTCATTAAAGACTTTGAAATCACAGGTAAAAGCTTGGCATTGTTATTTTAAGTGTAAAACCCACTTAGGTTTGAATTCTGAAAGACTAAAAGGTGCTTTGCAAATGAACTGTGGCAAAGCCCAAGGAGAAAGGCGAGGAAGAGGGGAAGGTTATCTCTTGTYGATCTGTCAAGGCCTGGTGTTATTGAAGGGCTGCCTACAGAACATCTGTGGCGTTGGGTATCACGCTGTACAAAGGCTTTTAGTTGCAATTTGCCAGGTTGTGTGCTAGGGTTTTTCTTATCCATAGGAAGCTCTGCAGATTTTTTTGCATGAAGTAAAACCAGCAATTTGTTAACATGACCATAGAGAGCTGGTGGTAGTTGGTGTCCTCTGAAGCAACAGCAGCATTCAGTTGTTTGCAGGAGGGTGACCGTGCAAAAGCTGACCCTCTCGTTATGCTGGAGGCTTTCCAGGCAGTGTGTGTGATTTTTTTAAGTTCTCCCTATCCTCAGATACAGGTTTCTGAAAGTTTTTTGGTTCATTTTCAGAAGTGTGATTACTGTCGTTTTCTCATGTCTAATGATTCTGAATACCAATTTTGATATACCTTAATGGCTGTCATTTCCAGAAGGACTTGAACACCCACTGGCTGCTAAGCTGGAGCTTCACAGTGAACCAGCCTATCATCTAAAATTGTAACTGCAAGTCAGTGAAGGAGTTCTTGTGGTTAAGTCAGTTTAGAAGACCTGATTTTCAAGTCTTGGGTCACCATAGRCATTGGCTTGACCTTAGATGAGTTGCTTAGGTCTTTAGCCTGCAAGGAGAGAGGGGGAAGATAGAAAAGAAAGAGRTGACCTCCCCAAATGCCCCTCTGTTGATGTTCCTGGAGAAGGAATCAGAATCCAGGTCTGTCTCTCCTGGAAGAGCACCCTATTACTTGACTAATATATTTCAGTAATTTTGGACTTTTGGACTGGCTTTTCTTGCGYTCTGGAATTGGCACTTTTTTGCAGATACCATCAGTTTGATAGAAGGGTCAATAACTGACCCCACACTGAATTGGTTTGGCCTAATGACTTGAATATGAGCTCCTGGTGGTGTGGACTTGAATGGTTACAGGTGAATAAAGATATGGTGAATAAAGATTCACATAAACGGTGAATCTTTCCCAGCATTGCCCTCAACCGAGACTTTGTTGGAGATTGCTGAAAGAGCTTGTGCTTGCTTTTTGTTTGTTCCTCTTTTTCATGTGTTGCCATCTGCATTTAACTCTTGTGCAAGAGACTCTGACTACTTCTCTGTAGACACTCCTATGGTGAGAATTTTTTTTTTTTTTTTATCTCTACTAGGCTGGTTTCTTGCACAAAGGACTTAGTCAACATGGTTCTCTGTCAAGGAATTAGCAACTGTCTCTGCTTCTGATACTTATTTAGATCCTGGAAGGAGTAGACATTCTTTTTTTTCTAATGAATCTATTAGTGTAGTTAAATGAAAGTCTTTAAGAAGAGGTTTACTGTGAGTTCAAATTGATAGGATGCTCGCTGAACATTCACAATAACTCACAATACTTCTTTAAGCTTAGAGGAAAAAATGCTGAGGCATTTTTAAATATGCATCTTGCGTTCAGAAGCATTACGAAATATATCTACTTTAACAAATGTGGGCAAAAATGCTTAGAAAGAAGGATATATTCATGGGGTTATATACATAAATAGTTATTACTTTAAACTTGGTGCATTAATAAATCCAAAAAGACATCCAAGTGCTTGAGCTAGTCAAGTGATAATGAAATGAGGCTAGAGTTACACCTCAGTGCATTAGAGTAAGTGGAATATAGATATAGGGAAATAGTTCCATTAGTTGAACATATTATTAAAGCTATTTTACAAGTGGAATGGCAAAGAAATTAGTTCTGTAATATTACTGATATTAAGACAACTGCCAAGAGCCTTGTCATTCGCAGACTTTAAATATATAGGGGAAGAGGCTGGCTGCTAAGTAATTTCATAAGGTAGGAGTACGGTGTAGTCATTCGGTAGCAGAGCAGTTGTCACCGACTCAGCATTTCTGGTGTCACCTCAGCAGCCCCGAGTCTTCCCCAAAGCTCAGCCCAAGCCACTGTGCTCAGCGGGGAGCTCTGCATCAGCTTGGCCTCTGGCTCAAAACCCATCCCCACGGAGGTCCAGAAAAGCCCCGCTCTGTGTCGCGTCCCACGCAGAATTATCTGCTGAGCCCTGGGCTTTGCTGGGAAGTTCTTGTGTGGGGAAAATGCACAAGGGAAGGAGAGATGGTTTCTGCAGAACAATCCTCTCTACTTACAAGCATCGCTCATATATTGGATGAGAGAAGCAATGATTTTTCTTTTCTTTTAAACAATTGCATCCTGTCTCCTGCTGGAGTGAAATAGCCCAAATATTCTCCCTGCAGCTATACTGTGAAATCGTCTCTCTGGTTGCTTGAAAAGAATGCCTTGCTAGATAGCTTTTGGGCGAATAAAATATCCTTGCAATTCTGCCTTGGATGCATAACTCTTGCCCACAATCATTGAATTCATTGCTACCAGTGTTACGAATAAGCTTTCTGGGAAAAGAGCTGATATTTGCATGTTTTATTGTTGTTGGTTTTGTTTCCTAGGGGAATTCATGGTTTCTTCTAATAGAATTCTGCACAGAATCTAGATTCTAGGCTGAATTTCCATTGCTGAATATATATTTATAAGGCCTATCAAAATAGTATAAAAACATTCTTTGAAAAGCTAAATTTATCAACATTTATTTTATGGTGATATTTCTAGAATGCTATTTTAGTGAAATTAAGCACATTTTGTAAACGATTGCCAACTGGAGGCAAAGACACCATATTTTTCTCCTTTGTACTTCGTATACCTAGCTGCTTAATATCTCAGATAGATAACCTTGTAGGAACCTTTGGCAAATGCTTATTTTTCATGGTGACTGTTGTATGTTATGAAAGCTTTATCTTAAATTGTAATGCTTAAAGTATTTCTAAATCTACCACCTGTTATCAGTGGATTGTAGAAGAGAATCATTTTTCTGAAAATGCTGCTTAGGCAAAAATAATGTCATAAAGGTTGCATACTACAAAGCTTCAATATTCTAAGTTATATTATATTCTTCCTGATTTAAACAGAGTAACAAAACGACTTCACTAGAGCATCACTAAAGTGTTAGAGAGTGGAGAGGTTTGTACTTCATTAGACCAATTGATAGGTGGAAGATGCAAGCTTTTAGATTCCATGTCCTTTCAYAGCTAAATGAAAGGATGCAGAGCACGAAAGCTTGTTCATTTTTTTTCTTTTTGAACCATATCCGTTGGTGTTAAGAAAAATGGAGAGAGAGAAATTGCTTCTTCCTGCAAAACTTTCTCTCTCCTTTATCTTCAGGTTATGACATTTAGTACATTTTCTGCTTTTATCCTGGTTGACAAAAACGTTGTCCTCCCTCTGGAAAGCACATGGATAAGAGCTACTCTCTTACTATTAATCCTCCTGTTGCTGCAGGAGGATGCACAGCTTCCTAGTTGTGCGCAAATGTATTGCAATTGCAGAGGAAATTCAATGTGGAGAGACCTACCAGGCTTGGAATCAAACTGGAAATTGTCTAATAAGCTGAACGAAGGGCTTTGTATTAAAAAGGCAGAGCCCTGCACTAATACGTGAGTCAACTCCTAAGCAGAGACTGTAATTTCTGGACTGGTCTTGCGAGGCATC